AGCTTGAACCAGAATATTCTTCCAGTGAGGAAGGAGAGGAAGAACAGGTTGATTCTGGGGAGGAAGAAGCTTTGTTAGATTCTTCGAGAGTTGAAAGTCGCCGAACGGATCTGTCTTGGTGTGAATGTGAGAGATGTAGTGTCATGCCAAGTGAAGTTGAATGTGTCTGCTGCAAAGAACTTCCTTTTTTGTCACAACTGGTAGAAGGTTAGTTAATTTTGTTTTAATATATAATTTAATCTCACTTTCTGTTTTCCGAAGGGGTATCAGAAACATAAACATTTATAATCCGAATAATTGTATTCTTTGCGGTAAATCCGGGTCCATGGTCTCGTGGTTGCTCGGGGCTATCTCTGAATCTCTCGCTTACTTTCTTCTAAAAGGCACTTCTTTACTCTCACAAATCGCCCGACTGTAACAAATCTCTTGACAAAATTCGACACAGTTACTCGGACACGAGAGGATTGTTTTGAGTATGAATGGAATCTTCTGTTGTTTACAAAGGTCATTGAGAACACTAGATTTTGATGTCTTATGAAATTTTAAAGATAAACAGCATAGGCAGGAGATACCTTCTGCTTCAACTGAATGAAGTTTGTTTCTATTATTTTAGGGTTGACATGTATCACTCAAAATGAAAGCTTTCGAGCAGTTTGTTTAAACCAAGATGTGTTGTGGACAGCACTAGCGACTCTGCACGACAGGGAAAGTGCTGGTCTTCCAGACAGACAACAAGTGCCCAACAGGTATTGACATTTTGTGGTTGTTGCCAATAAAATATATTTCGTGTTCAACAGTTTGTTATTTATTGTTTTGATTGGAAAAAAGGTTCTCAGGGGAAGGGGTGCTTAGAAGAGCTTCGTAAAAAAGGGGTGACTTATTTTATACAAGATCTACATTGCTGTTGAATGTTACTTTGCTTGTGGCCTGTCACCAAAACCCACATTAGATTTTCTATCTGAAGGGGGGGGGGGGTGCTACAGTCTGGGTTAGGATGGACTTGAAGTAACTTGAATGTGAGCCAGGAGTAAGCCAGTCAATGTCTATAAGGAAGTCTGGTATAATTAGCAGCAAACCTGTGTATTGTCTTCTGTTATCTTCTAAACATTGAATATTGTTGTCTTAAGGTCATTTCGTTATGCAGCTTATGGACAGTTTACCTGGTGGGCTCATGGGTACCTTGGCAAGAAAATTCGACGTGTTATCCCCTCTTGTGCAGTAAAAATTATCAGGGAAAATTTTCCTTGTGAAGATGGGATTTACTCTTGATATCTTCCTGGAGACGATGATGATGACAGTGCCTTTGACAGTGAGCTTCAACAAGCATGGAGGGACTTTTTAAATATTTAAAACATTCATCTTGAAAGCAAATTTTTAATCAATTACAACACACATACAATGGCTTTCTAACCAACCCATTTCACCCATTTTTACTGCTACTTTTGCACTCTGATTACTGATGCTTATGATGAATTTGAATTATGTATTATTCTCAAGGTAAATGTGTTCATTTGGGACAAGAAGTCTATTTTTTACATATTTTAACAACATAAACAAGAAACCATTATAATGTGGTCAATAAAATTATTGACTTTCACAATTGAAAGTGTATGTTTTTTTCTGTAAATCATTGGCAATCATCAGAGAAAAAGTTGTAATCCTCCTAAAAATGCATGAAAACAGAACTTGCCACTTCTCGAAAAAAAAAAACAATGTTAAGAAGCAACTTGGGGGAATTTTAATTAGTTACTTGAACCGAGATAGCTGCTGTCGTGTTTCAATTATCTCTTTCCTGCTTGGCCTTTCCTTTGGAGCCATTATACCAGACCTGTCATTAACCCGTGCAGTAGGTTTGGTCCCT